TCCCTGTTCAACCCTTTTTCTCCTTTTCCCCTTCACCATATTCCCACGTATGTAAACAATTAAAAAACCAAACCAAAACAAAACAAAAACAACCCCCAAACCAATACAAAAGCGGGAAATGCATGTGTGGCCATGCCTCACAAAATAGGTCGGATAATTGAAGGGAGTCCCGCAGACCGCTGTGGCAAGCTGAAAGTAGGCGATCGGATCTTGGCCGTGAATGGGTGCTCCATCACCAACAAGTCGCATTCAGACATCGTCAACCTCATTAAGGAAGCGGGAAACACCGTTACCCTGCGCATCATTCCAGGAGATGGTAAAGTATATGTTTCCTGCTGTCTTATCTGACCCTCTTGTTGGTTTTGTTCCCTGGCTTTTTGCATCAGTTGGAGCTGCAAAGTCATGGAGGACTCAATTTCTACTTCCACTTTGGGAATTAGCAATGATGGAGGTTGTGAGTCTTCCATAGCTTTATTTTTTGTTTCTTTCTATAGAAATGGGAGTTCTGTTTTTGAACAGGGAGGTGCTGATTCTACATTAAAAAAATAATACTCCATTCTATTGCGTTCCTCCACCTATCTCCTTAAAATGATCTGTAAATTTGATACATATCTTGATACACTTTGATTTGATTCTTAGGTTAATAATGTAGCTTTAGAATATATGGGAATCACTCGTTAATATGTGGGATTCCTGAAGCTTTGTATTTACACAAGCAGACTCTAGAGTAAAGAGATCACAGAAAGGGATAAACACTTTGTCATGTTTTAAGCTGTTCTAAAAGAAGATTTGTTTTTATTCTGGGTAAGTTGCTTTGGGAGCGAGCTCAGTACATTTTGAAATGACTTTGTTAAATGGTGATGGCTCTGGAGCTGCTGTGTGCTTGCAGCAATCATTGTAAGAGTTACCCTAGACAGAATCTCACTGTTTCAAATCAGAGGGAACATGCAGGATCCCTAATAATATACTGACACTTGGTACTAGTTTCAGGTCACTGAACTATTCAATAAAAATAAGGATCAGTTTCATTAAATTGATCCCTAGCTGTAGTGCCAAATACGAACAGGGCAGAAACGTGCGTATAAGTATCTGTAGTAGAACTAAAATTGCTGTGGTTCTAAATTCTAAGTGTTTTGTTTGTTCATTGTCCTGCTCTGCCGTGGACAGGTTCATAGGGAGAACTCATTAGGCAGAAATCTTTTTACATTGCTCTCTTTTTAAACTGAATCCATGGGTATAAGTTTTAATGGCTCAGATACAGTGCTAATGCGCATTTCTTAGAGTTGTACAGGACACTATTTGTGTTCAGTTTAATGCAGAGAGAGTGTGTGACTAAGTTTGGAAGAAAGGTTGAAAAAGTATGGCTGATTTGAACCTGATACCTGTAAAGCAGAATGAAGAAGTTACATGATGTGATTTCCAGTGAGAAGCATTAGGTAGTTGCTAACTCTCGTACTTTCTAGTCTGAAACATGGATTTGGCTGCCCTACAGAGGATGATTATGCTATGTTTAGTTATAAGATAAAAATAGGCCAGAATGAGAAATTATCTGGTTATAAATTATTTATGTTTAGGATGATCTGTTTTGCATAAAGGCTTTCTTTTCCTACTGTAGCTACCAGGTCAAATGGTATATCATCCTTTGCTGCTTCCAGCAAATTGAGTGTTCATGAACAATAAAATCGCTGTGAATCAGACTAACATCTGAGTTGGCCTGTGCGTGCCAGTTTTGGAAGGTAAACTGAGAGAAGAATTGTTCATTACCTGTATTTTGGTATCTGATCAAAATCAAGCAAGGTGAATCTTCAAACAATTTTTTAAAGGCAAAAATACTTAAGAAATAAATAATTTTTGAATCGTTTACGAATTTTTTAAGAAGAATGTAGCCTCCTGATGCGAATGCTAAACCAGAGCACTCTCAAAATTGCCGAGAGGTTTGCTCTAAACCCCATGAGATTTAAGAAATTGGTCTCAATGCTGTTTTGTTTTTGTTGTCTTTGGGTACTTTTGTTGATTTGTTGTTTTCTTTTTGTTGACTTTTGGGTGCTTTTTTGGTAAATATATATGGTCTAACAGTATACTTAAAGGTGGGGCGGAGGAGAATAGATCAGAAGCCATGCTTCTCAGATAAACATGAAACTAAGGCTCATCACAAGACTCACAATAAACTCACACTGCTAATCTCTTCTAACATTATTAAAAACACCAGGGGTTTTTGCTTTGTAATAAGTCTTGCACCAACTCATTGCCATAGACCACTGCAGGATTGTATTTGCAATGAAATTACGATGCTTTAACACGCTACCAGATGATGCAAGGATACATAGAGCTGAAAAATTACAAGCCCAGATTAGGCATTTAATTGGCGTCTGCATGTTTTAGGGCAGAACAGGGCAAGGAATCAGTGAAATACGTAGGGTTTAGAACATACATTTGTAATTCTACTGGAGATAATTTTTGCTGTATTTCTGTTCTGTTCCAGTTTTGCATGGTGGCTGGCATGTGTCCTGAACCAGTGTCTAAAAAACTAGCAAAATTATGCACAACTCCTGACTGAGGGGATAGGGTGGGCTAAAGATAGATGCAGTACAGTGGTGTGAAGATACATCTGTACCAAAGATGTGTTGTTGCTCTACTTGATGTTCTTAGTGTGACCTACTAAAGGGTAGGAATCTTGCATTCTCTTTGAAGCCCATCTTCATCTGATCTCCAAATATTTGTGGAGGATTTCAGAGGCTTTTGTTCTGGATGAATAAAAACCACTTAACCATGTTTTGGGGCCTTCTTATGTTGAAGACAGATTTTAGCATCAAGGCATCTTTACAAAATACACAGAATTATTTCTTAAAATCCAACAGTGTAACCACACATAGGGACATCTCCTTCTCACACAAGCCAGCTGTCAGTGGCACATCCTTGCAAGGGTATGTTTTGGTCATGCCGAGACTGAGAGGTGCAGGCAGACCCAGGAACCTCTCTTGCTCTCTGAGTCACTGGACACAAGCCAGCTCTGGTCTGGAAGATGTTACAGCTCCATATGCTGAGGGTTTGGGCATGTTAACTTGGGCACAGTGCTGCAGGCAAAGGAGCTGTGCTCTCATTGCACCCATCTGTTTAAATGGTTCTTCTTTTTCCCGTTTCCTGGATTTCCCTTGATATGCACTAGCTACAGGAAGGACAAACCTTCACCTCATCTAGATTTGTCCACAATTAAAATATATCCATGAAATAAAATAGGTTCCCAGGACCAAGTAAGCCCATGACCACCACCTCTCCTTAATTCAGGAAAAAAAAAATCCCATTTCTGCAATTCTCTGTTACAGCTGGACTCTGTTTAACAATGGCAGATTTCTCCATAGTCAATAAAATGAATTACTGGATGCCTGGAGCTTAAGAGGCAAACAAGGGCAGGGTGGAAGACCTTGCAATTTTATGTTGGAGAGCCAGATGTTTCCACCCGGTTTTTGTTGCTGTTGTCTGATGGTGGCTTTATTTTAAGTGGGACTGGAACTAGAGAAATTCAGTCAAGAAACAAGGTGCACCATTTTAACCAGTGATTGTGCGTTAAGTTTAGATTTTGATCTTGAAAAATGGATCATGGTCAGTATTTTGTAGTTACTTGCAATCTGTGACCCCCTCCTAGTTAGAATGGGTATAGGCACAAAGTGGGGAGGTCTCCTGTGTGTAGAACTGTTCCACAAAGGAGTGAGTGCCTGCTACTGCAGTGACTTTAGCTGGGAATGCCATACCTAATGAGAGGGTGTTTCTATTGACTGTGCTCATCATTCTCCGTATGCGACCAATGTAACTAACTGTTCAACATTTTGGGTGCTTAAGCGTCTACCACCGACTCTTCCTCTGAATTCAAACTCCTGTGTGAGGGGAAGGGTGTTTTCAGGAACTGCTGACTTCTGGAGCAGTTAAAAATTTTAAACTCTTCAGTACAAATTTCAGTTCAGGATTGATACCATATTCATTTCTGGAAAATGTGTTGAGTTCAACACGCAAGAGTTCCAGGTCCCTCCTCCAAAACTATGTTGCTAATATTTGGCTAATGGCATTGACATGACCTTAGTTTTAGGCAGAATTTTAAATGAGTTCTGGGTTAACTCTGGTCTTACTGAAGTCTATGATGAAGGTCCAAAATGACAAGGGGACCATTTTGCCATGCCGTACTGTGAGGGACACCTAGATAGTCACTTTTCAGTTGTGTCTACAGCAATTCCCATCCCAGTTTTGTGAAGCAGGAGAGAAGACATCTTCCAGAAGCACCTCCTGCCATGCGTAGAGAAATACGGCATTTGCACAGGCTGATGCTGGGCTGAGGGCCCTTTATGATGGCATAAATTGAGTTTTGAAGTTAATCCTGCTCTCTGTATTCTCTCAGTGAGCCATTTAGTAAATGGTACTCAGAGCTGTTGATGCATTTGGTACAAGTGGTTCCACGTCCCTGCATGCAGCTTTGAGTGCTCAGGCAGGCAGCGGTGTATTTCAAAGATGTATTTCAGTAAGTTTGGATTTTAGCCACATTCAATATCACCTTATGAGGTATTAGATAAAAGCCACATCTCAATCCCACTGAAGATTGCAGTTTCTGATGGAGGAAACACTGATAAGCTTATAATCCATGGAATAGTTATTGCTACTATAAAATTAATCCAGCCAACCTACCATATTTGGAGACTTTAATGATTGGAATTCATGTCGTTAGACAACAGACGAAATGTTATTCAACCCTTCCTGCACTAGTCAGTCTTTGTTCTGGGTGAGTTTAATGGTCAGAGGTGTTTCTAACCCAGATTTCCCAATTTCTTTTTGTTTGTTTTGCATTTTCCAATGAAGTGTACAGTTTCATATACATAATTACTATGACTTAGCTTAGGCTTTATTCTGTAAATTTTTTTATTTAAGAAATTTGAACCAATCTCAAGTTCTTTAAAAACAACATAATGATACTTTCCAGTGAAATACCTCTGCAAAGCTTTTTTTTCTTTCAGTGAATAGCCAATGGTCTTCTCTCACAATGAAAAAAACCATTTGTTTTCCAGAGTCCTCCAATGCTACTTTATTGACCAATGCAGAAAAAATTGCTACAATTACAACCACACATACTCCTCAACAAATACCACAGGAGACGAGGTCAGATTGTTTTCCTTGAGGAGAGCATGTTGACATGCTCTCTCTTCGATTACTTCTTGATCATCTTCACATCCCATGAACTGTATTTTTCCTCTCTCCCTCTTTCTTTCATTTGTTGCAGCAGGAACAACACCAAACCAAAGCAGGAATCCCAGTTTGATTTCAAACCACCCCAAGCAGCACAGGTAAGGAGTAGCTTTCTAATTGTTTTGTTTACCACAGGCTGTTGCTTCCAATCTGCTTGAGGGCTGTGTTCAAGTATTTCCCTTGAAAATTCCTACTGGGAAGCTGTTCTCCCTCAATCTGTTTGCTGAAGAAAGAGGAATTTGCTGATTAGTTTCTTAATATGTGTTGCTGTTGTGTCAGCTGAGAAACATTGCCAACACATTCTCATCAAGACTTTTAGGGAGAAAAAAAAAGGGGGGGGGGGAAAGCTGACATTTTTATGACAATAATAATTTATGTGTTTGTTTATTTAATTGCATATTTTGAGGGGACTCTCCAGAAAGTTGTGTGCAAATGATAAATTCAGAGGACAAAAAAAGAGTTAAAACTTAATAAGGGGCAATAGCTGGAGTGTCCCAGCTTTTACAGACAGCATCTTATTAGAAAGATTATTTCACTGTTAACTTTCCTTCCCACTGGTGATCCCAGAAGTAACCTTTTCCATTAGGGACTTCAAAACATCCCAACACTAACAGCATTTGTGCTGTAGACAAAAACAATGCACGTGCTTCTGAGCTTCTTGTAAAGGAATAGATGAGGTGGTAACAAAAAGGAAAGGCCAGCACTGTGGCATGGACTGTTCCCACTTACTATTAGACGTTTAACTAAAGCCTGGCACTGGAAGTGAGCTTGCCATAGCCTTCCTTTGCAGTTGGTTGAAAGCTAACCACCCTCCAGAAATATGCCCTTTCACCCTGGGCACAGATATGCCTAAAAACCAGCCCTTTGCAGACCACCGCCAGCACTCCAAATTGCAGAGTGGGATCTGAGGAAGCAGGAAATACTAGTCTGTGTCTGAAAACTCAACTGATTTTTTTAATTATGAGTAACAAAATAATAATGTTTGTTGGATGAATAATTTTTAAATGAGAGTAGAGCAGCGTTTAACTTTCTGTTCAATTGCACATATGTTGTCTTCCCTCCAGCAGGACCAAGACTTTTACACTGTTGAGCTGGAAAGAGGAGCCAAAGGGTTTGGCTTTAGCCTGCGAGGTGGGCGGGAATATAATATGGATCTGTACGTGTTGCGGCTAGCTGAGGATGGTCCAGCTGAGAGATGTGGGAAGATGAGGGTATGCACAAACAGCTTTTAAAAACATGCTTCTTTGCAATAAGATGACTTCCCTGCCTCTCCCCTACAGAAACACCTTCTACTGTGCTAGCTAAGAGGAAAATTAAATGTTAACTGAAAGGAGCAGTGGTTCCTATTTACTTCTGTCAATGACTTCTGTCATGCTTTGTATACAGTCTATAACAGTGTGTGTGCATTGGAAGATTTCACCTCCTTGTTCCAACTCAGGTTTCCAAATTCTGATACATAATCTGACTTTTAAAGCCTAACAAAGAGATGTGTAACAATGAAAATGTAACAGCCACAGTCTTTGTCAGCTCCTTTAAAGCTGCAGCCATGAGTAGAGAATCAGGATGTTCCACCTGATCGTCTCCTCTGCTAGTGGGCAATGTATATTGACCCACGGGTTACAAAATTATTATATGATTTTTGATTAGTTTTATCTGTTAACTTCACATACCAGTTAAATTATAAACATTATAACAAGGGCATACGTTATAAAGAGGCTACAGAAAAATTAAATTGCCAAGTTTCATGTACTCCTTGCTCCTCTATTAGAGAACGGATTATAACTTTACAGCATATGTCTTTTTCTTCTCCAGATATATCATGCAAAGGATATTTTCGAAATTCTTTTGCTAGGGGTCGATTTATAGGTCCAAAATTTTTGCTGCTGAAAATAAATCAGTGGTGCCCTGTGGAAGTCAATGCTTTGACAAACTCTTCCAAGCCCTGTTTTCCTATCCTGGTGAATGATTGTATTTACAAAAACAGCTTTGCTAGTTCATAGTAGGTATCTTTATCCAAGTGAAAAACAGACCTGAAAAAGTTATTGAACATCCCAGTTACAGCAGACTGTAAAACAAACAGCCACTTTGACCAAGACTTTATAAATAATCAAAATAAGATAAAATAACTCCAGTTCTAACACAGCTCTAGGTATCAAGCAATACAGTAATGCAACGTGGTTTTTAAGAACAGCCATGAAATATTTTGATACCTCAGGCTTTCCCTGTCACCTTCATGTCTCCCAGTCCCCTGCGTACTGTTTTTTGTGGACTGTCACTGGAAGGAGTTAGGCATATTTAGCTTCACTTGGTGCATAGTTGTTCTTCCACCTTTCCTGTGGCCGTTGTCTTGTGGTGTGCTGGTGGTGACCCTCATGTGGGCTTGTTTGTAATCTTGGACTCTTTTATTACATTGACAGATCGGTGATGAAATCTTAGAGATCAATGGAGAAACTACCAAGAACATGAAGCACGCTCGGGCCATCGAACTGATTAAAAACGGTGGCCGTAGGGTCCGCCTGTTTCTGAAACGTGGAGATGGCTCTGTCCCAGAATATGGTGGGTCAAACTATGAAAACATTCCTTTCTTCCCTGGCATCACTCCATGAATGATTTGTCTCAAGATCTGAAGCGGGAATTCTTTTTTATTTTCCTTTCTCACCAGTGTCTTACCAACCTTTGCAACATATGATTAATTGCCTCGCTTGTGCTGAATTTTCTACACATTTCATCCTTTGCTTGCTTCCATGGACTTGGGGCGCAGTGTAAGGCAAGATCATCATAGCAGTATTTTTGGTGATCAGAGAGGAAAACAAAACAAAACAAAACAAAAAAACCTTATTGTCTTGTCCAGCCAAACAAGGAATGTCATTGAACTGTGCCAAACTGTTTCTCAGCGGCTGAATTGTTTCAAATAGGTCTCTACTTTTAATCAATGCAAAAACTGGGATCCTGAGTTATTATTCTGAAGCAGTGATTTTTTTTTTTTGTTAGGTTTTTCTCTTAGTTCCTGTCTGTATCCA